TCTGGCCTTTAAAGTTTCTGTTGAGAAGTCTGCCCTAATTCTAATGGGTTTATTTTTATAAGTGATTCGTTGCTTTTCTCTAACAGCTTTTAAGATTCTTTCTGTGAGTTGGATTTCTTGGATTTTTTTTTTCTGTAATGTGTTGTGGATAAGTTCTTTTCTGATCATGGCTATTTGGGGTTCTATATGCTTCACTTATGTATATGTTAAACTCTTTCTCTATATTTGGAATGTTTTCAGCTATCATTTTTGTAAACAGGTTTTTTATGCTATTTGTGCTGCCTTCTGATTTTTCACTGATTCCAATTAATCTTAGATTAGTCCTCTTTGCATCATTTAGCAGTTACTGTATTCATTTTTCATGTTCTCTTCTTTTTAAGATATCTCTGAATATATGGCCCCCAGCATTAACCCTATCTTCCAGTTCTGACAATCTGTCCTCACATTGATCATATATGTTGCCCACACTTCTAATATAATTTTCAATCTCTTGGATTTTTGTTTGGTATCTTTTCATAGAATCCAATTCTTTGCCAAATTGGTCATTTGTGTTTTTTTTTTTTTTTCTGGTACCCAGGATCGAACTTGGGACCATGTACTTGCAATGCAGGCAATGGCACCACTAAGCTAAATTCTGAGCCTGCTCATTGTTGTTTTTTATTCTTTAGCTCAGCTAGCTTTTTATTAGTGTCTTCTGTAAACTTGTTGATCATTCTAGTCTATTATCTGTTTAGTTGTATCTTCTTTGAACTCACAACGTCCCCTGTGATCTATTTTTTAACCTATTTTATCATTTTGAATAATTCAGCTGTGTGGCTTTGCTTTCCTCTCCATCAATGCCCCATGGACCAGTTTGGAGGAGTTGAGAGTTTTGGGATGCATTTTGTTGCCTTGTCTTCTCATGTTTCTATTGTTTATGTTTTTTGCCTGAGGTTTGCTCTTGATTATGCACTGTCTTCACCGTGAGGGGATTACAATTCACCTGCACAGCCTTCATCTGTACCATGAAATTTGCTCTTGTCAATGAGGTTTAATGATGTATATGGGCCACCACTAAGCAGAACCTGCAAACCTACAAAGACCACCACAAGTTTCTGTTATTGCTTTCTTCCTTGAGGACAGCAATGACCCAGATCTGTTCTTCCTTCATCTTGGATACTAGAATAAAAGAGATGGGTAGAATAGAACTGCACGCGTACTGCTGTAAGAATGTCATGTGAGTGAGAAACTTTCGGTGCTTTGTGTATCACTAGGGAACCAGGCTGATTTGTTATTATAGCATAGCCTGGCAAAAAACTAACTGATGGAGGACTTGAATAAGTGGGAGAAACACCAGTTTTCTGCAGAAGTCTCAAGCATAGAAACACATCAATTCTCCTCAACCAAATCCTCAAACTCAATACAACAGTTATCAAAACCTCAAGACCAGTTATGGAGTATGGCAAGTTGATTCTAGAGGTCATTTGGAGTCCTAAATGTAAACCACTGAGGACATTTTAGATTTTTTTCTCCAGTACTGGGGGTTGAACCCACAGCCTTTACACTGACTCCCTGCTCTTTTTCAATTTTTAATTTTGCATCAGGGTTTTTGCTAAGTCACTAAGTTGCCCGGGCTGAGTTCAAAGTTTTGATCTCAGCTTCCCGGAGTGCTGGAGTTACATGCACCGCTGTGCCCAGCTACCTCTGATATTTTTAAATTGAAGAATAATGAAAAGGGAGGTCCTTCAGATAAATACTAAAGTATATCTTTTAGTGCTTCAATAATTTAAACAGTAAAATTTTTTTAAAAGCAGTGAAAAGAGTCCAGAAACTCATGAATTCATGAATGTTTGAGATTGTCATATATGATACAATAATATTTTTTAAATTGTAGCAAGTTCACAGTGACTGAGTGGGAGAGAGTCATAAGAGACAGTTTCAGAGAGGACATGGATTAGACATAGACGCTCTGAGAAGTTTAAACTCAGGACGGGAAGAATTTGGAGGCCCCACATATGTGGTGAGATGCCAGGCCAGGTCTGTGTGGCTTTCACAGGCAGCTGGTTCTGAAAGTACTGGCATCAAGTCTAGAGGTCTGTTTCAATCTTACTCCAGCACCTACATCCAGCACAGAACTCAGTGGTCTGTTTGCTTTCTCTACCTACCAATGTGAGCAAGCATATGGCTCAGCTTGGATGGTTGCCCCAGCCTGAGGCATATGGACAGAAGAGCCTCTAGAGCAGGAGGACACCTCACAAATCCATGGCTTATAAAGCCAGGTAGGGAAAACTGTGACTTGGGGTGCACCTCAGAGGGACATGAAAAGTGGGAGTTTCTGGACAGACTATAGCCATAGGACAGACACTATTGACCAACCATACCCAGTGGGAAAGGCGAGGCAGGATTCAACATTCATACACAAAAGTGTGAATGTGGAAACACAATAGGTCCTATCAGTCACTCACTGTCCCTCCCTTATATCTGCTGGATTCCAAGACTGCAGACCCTAGATGTAAATCACTCATTTAAAAATAGAGGAATTATTTTGTAGTCATTTTTTCTCATTGATTTGTTGGGGTTTGGGCTTTTTTCCCTGTTAACTTTTTTTTTTTCTTTTTCTTTTTTCTTTTTTTCTTTTGCTCTGTTTTTTTCTTGTTTATTTTTTTCTGTAACTTTATCTTCTTTTACTTTGGGGAGGGTTGAGATAGGGTCTTACTTTTCAGTACAAGTCTGTGTAGCCTAGGCTGGCCTTGAATTCTAAATGATCCTCCTGTCTCAGCCTCCTGAGTGCTGGGATTATTGGCATGCACCACCACATCCAGCTTCCTTTTACTCTTTAATGGGATCCTTTATTTCACTTTTCTCTCCTCCTTCTCATCTTTCCTTTATTTTTCAAATTTTTCTTCCTTCTTTCTCCCATTCCCCACCCTCTCTATCTTTACTCATATAACCATTGAGTTTTATTAATCTTTAAATATTTAGCTAACTGTATGCTATTACTATTGAAATCTTTTCTACTGTTAGTGGAGGTGTAGTTGTTGCACCCAGTAGATACTTACTGTGTGCCAATATTTGGTTTGTCCTCTGTGTTTATACTATAATTATAGATCTGTTTTCTGTGGTTAAGGTTGGTACCTTATTGGTTTTTGTGGTATGTCAGCATCTAGTTTGTCTTTGACTGTATTATTGTTGCTACTGCCAAGGTGGCATTGTTGTTGCTGTTAACTGGCTTTCTCTGCATGTCAATATCTGGGTTGTCTTTTTGTCATTAACAATTCTGTGGTCTATTTCCAGAGAGCTGGGTGCTGGGCCAATTACTCTGCACCCTCCTGTTCTAAATTAACAGAGACAGTTGGATCTTAGGACAGAGGCAAAGGCCTATAGTTAGCCACTCCCAGAGTATATCACTGAAAAGCAGACACCAACAAAAGGATATCTATTCTAGCAACAAAATCTTTCCACTCTAATATTTTGGTTATCTGTTTTCATCTTTTAAATTGTTCATCTTATTTTGTGTTCTGGGTTTTAAGTACTCTTTCAAGATGATTTTCTTGGGCCAGGGTTTTAGCTCAGTGGCACTGTGCCTGCCTTGCAGGAGCAAGATCCTGAGTTCGATTCCCAGTACCAAAGGAAAAAAAAAGATGATTTTCTTGATAATTATCTTTCAAAATACCTGTACTAGTCTGTCATCTAAGAATAAATGCACTGAGCGAGCTGATGTCTTGAGAACTTGCAATGGAGGGTGCACTTACCTCTTCCCTTTGGAGACAATTCGGCATAAAAATGTAATGTAAAGGCCGGGGATTTAGATTAGTGGTTCCAGCGCCTGCCTCGCAAGCACAAGGTCCCGAGTTCGATCTCTGGTACCGAAAAAAAAAAAAAAGTAATGTAAGTTGTGTGTGTGTGTGTGTGTGTGTGTGTGTGTGTGTGTGTGTGATGTGAACATAGAACACAATAGGGAGCTAATGGCTCCCTTAACTCCAGCTGTATTAAATAGCTCCTGCATCCCTCAGAATATTTTAAAAATATTCAATATTGTGCTTTTCTTTTTCTTAGGTGATCTTTTGGTTTTTTTTGAGACATGGTCCCAACATGTAGTTTTGGGTGATTTGAACTCACTATGTAGCTCAGGTTGGCCTCAAATATAGCAATTCTCCTGCCTCAGCTTATTAGAGTGATGAGATTACAGATATGTACCATCTGGCCCAGATCTTAGGTGATTTTTAAATTTAAATACATTTTATTCAGGAATCATTTATGTGCCACAAAATGAACATATCTTAAATGTGCCTGTATTTTCTTTGACCAGTGTACACACTTTGGGTAGTCTGTAAGTCTGTGAACATGTAGAACATTTTTATTACCTCAGAAAAATTTCCTCAGGCCCCTTTCCAGCCAGTTCTCCCCCTACTTTCCAAAAGCAACCAGTTCTCTCATTTCTATCATCATGCTTCAGTTTTTCCTGTTCTTAAATGTCATATGAATGGAATCATGCTGTACGTACTCAATTCTATTTAATTTCTTCATTAAAGGTATTACACTGGCAAACCTTTAGTGCTTTGCTTGTATCAGCAGCTAATTCCTTTTTATTGTTGAGTATTAGTATTCTGTGATATGACTAAACCATAATATGTCTTTCCATTCTCCTGTTGGTAACATTTGGATTGTTTCTAGCTATGAAATATTATAAATATGTTATGAATATTGGCGTGAAAGTCACTCACTAGACACTATTTTAATTACTTCACCTGCTGCATTTCATTTAATCCCACAATCAAGCTCTGAGGCCAATACTACTATTAGACCCATTTTACAGTTAAAACTATTCTATTCCCATATTAGTGGTTAATTTACACCACAGAGTCTGCTATTTGGTGCTTAATATTTGGACCTGGGCTGTCAGACTCCACAATCCTGCAAATAAATAGATTCTTTGTATGATAGAAGATTTTGTGGTTTCAGAAGGCGTAGATACTTATATCAAATAAGTAACCAAGGCAACTATGTTTTGATCTCTTCAGCTGGCTTCAGCTGAAGATTATGGAAAGGAAGTGGACATCTTTGCTTTGGGACTAATTCTTGGTGAACTTATTCACATTTGTAGCACTGTTCAGGAAACAATGGAGGTAAATAATTTAAAAATTAAGCAACAAAAATTATTCTATGTCTTATTGAATGTCTGCACTGGTGCAGTTATTGCCCATGTGTGAGGGTGGGCTTCAGCATGTTTGTGACTAATTGAGAGTGAAATATGAATTTTCCATCTCAAATTTTTTTTTTTTGTTTTTGAGCGGGGATCGAACTCGGGTCCTTGCGCTTGCGCAGGAGGCGGCGAAACCACTGAGCTAAATCCCCGGCCTGAGAACTATTTTTTATAGAACAAAAACTTTTATCTTCTTGAAAGATGTGTACATTTTATTAAGACTCTTATTTTGAATCAATTGGCAAATTTTCATTGCCTGCTTTGTAAAAGACACTGTGCTAGGTATTCCAAGAATCATAGAAATGAACAAGTTTTTTTTTATTTTTGCTTTTGTTTTTGTTTTTTCTAGTACTGAGGATTGAACCTAAGACCTTCACACTGAGCAACATCCCCAATTTTTTTATTTCTTTTATTTTGAGACAGGATCTCGATAAGTTTCTAAATTGTCCAGGTGGCGCTCAAACTTGTGATCTGCCTCATCTCAGCTCCCACAGTGCGGGGATTACAGGCAATCACCACTGCACCTGGTTGAATAGTTCATTTTCTTTTTTTTTTTTTTTTTTTTTTTTTTTGGTACCGGGGCTCAAACTCAGGTCTCTGCGCTTGCGCAGCAGGCAGCGAAACCACTGAGCTAAATTCCCGGCCCGAATAGTTCATTTTCTAAGAAGAAAGACAAGAGAATGCTGTAAGTGTTCTAGGAAAAGGCATAAATTCTGTGGAAATATCTAGGAAGGGAGATCCTTCTAGTTGTGGGTTCAGATTTCACCAAAGCAAGTCAATTGGGGTCTGAGGGCAGGTTGTTTCTAATGGTCCAAAATAGGAAGCAGGAGGTGCCAATGTGAAGATGGGACCGTGCGGAGTATATTTGGAAACTGTGGGAAATGTAGTTTGAAGTGATGGTTAATGGAACTAGAAAGTCAAGTTGGTGCTAAACTGAGGAAAAAATAAGGATTTTCTTATGTAGACAGTGGGTAACTACTAGAGGCAGGTGGCAACTTGGTATGCTAGTCTGAAGCTCTGGAAAGGGAATTTTGCCTAGTCAACAGCTTTTGCTTCTATAAAAATGGATATTTAAATTAGCCATTTCATAGGGTTCCAGGAACGACAAAGGGAGATAATGAATGTCACATATGTAACTCTTCAAAACATTGAATGTTAAGGATGATTATTAGATTGAGTGTGGGGGTAAGGATTTTCTGGTTGGGCTTGGCCAAAAAGACTTTCCAAAACTCTAGGAACAGCTTAGATGTAGGGTATCCTTAGCCTTTAATGTATTCTAAGTTTGTTTTTCTTCTCAAGTAAATAATTTCCTAATAAATGAATATATGTTTCATTTTCAGTTTTTCAAAGATCTAAGGAAAGGCATCTTCTATGATGTGTTTGATAGCAAAGAAGTAAGTATTTGAAAATAATCACAATTTAGTTAATTCCAATGTTTTAGTTCTTACTATTGACACTTATTTATGATTACAGAAAAACCTTCTACAGAAATTAATATCACGGGAACCTCAAAGACGACCTGACACACAAGAAATACTAAGGACCTTGGCTGAGTGGAAGAATGCCTCAGAGAAAAAGGAAAGAAATACCTGTTAGGGCCCTTCTAAAAAGTATCACTTCTGATCTGTGCTTTCCTTTAATTTTCTAAAGGCTATCGATAGATATTTCCTCTTATTTTCATTTTCTTCCGTTTTTTAAAATTTCATGTCAGATAGGTTTTCATTAGTTTTTTTTTTTACTTCAAAAAACATTCTTACACTTGAAGAAATACAGAATTCAATTAAAATTCAGGCCATAGCTGTTTGCATGGAACATGGCAGTTTTATGGAAGCAGAAGTCTTTGAAAGAATATTTGGTGACCCATATTCTCACATGACAAAGGAAATTGCTTATGATAATCTCTCAGAAGGATCCATATCACTCCTTTTTTTCAGCACTTCAGCTACAACCACATGATGGAGGAAGTTAAAAGTTATGTGAATTGTGTGCTAGATGAAAAATCCATGATGTATTTTCTAATGATGTGTTTTCAACTTTTCTAATGAAGCAGCAAAAGTAGTGGAAAGTGAGAAAACAAGAATAATAACTTCTCAGGATAAGCCTAATGGTAATGATAATGAAACAGAAAATGAAGCTAATTTGAGTAAAGAAAAAAGGTCTCACATGAATCTCTTCTTATCTAAGTTGAAACAAGCAAGCTGTCAGCAAGACCTTAATAAGAAAGAGAGAGTGGGAATTCTTCAAAGGGGAAAAAAGGGAAATGGAAGAGACACTGAAAGACCGGTTTCAAAGAACCAATCAGTAACTCATGAAAAACACCAATTTAGGCAAAAACAGGCGTGGCTTTGGAAAGAGGACAAGAACTTGAAATCTGGTGTGAGGAAATATGGAGAGGGAAACTGGACTGAAATACTGTTACAGTGTAAATTCAATAACCACACAAGTGTCGTGTTAAAAGACAGACGGAGGACCACGAAGAAACAAAAGCTGATTTGCTCAGACATTTGCTGAAGCCCAAATGTGTTTGTCAAAGTTTGATAAAAGGACAGTTAAATATTTAGAGGCATTATTTTTATGCTTCAACTTAATGAGGATGTGTGCTGTAAAATTATATGCCATCAGCTTATTCTTTAAGAATCTGTTTGATAAAATGTAAATACAATGAACCCTACTTGAATCCAATACCCCACCCTCAAATTCTGTCCTAATGAAAAATCAAAAACCTGATTAGAGGGAAAAACTAGTGCTATTTACCTACCCTTTGTCTACAGGATAGCCTCAGGCTTGTATGACACAACATAGAAATGATTTTCTCAATAACTGAGTAATAAAAAATAGTCCTGTGAGATGAGATGATGATTTATGGCCTTGATGTACTATTTAATTACTAAGATATTTGTTAAAAGAATGATAAATGCACAAAGTAATCTATGAGTTTTGATATCCTTAAGTTTTTCTTTCATAGTTTAATATCAAGGAAAAAACTTGCAAGCAGTAATGACTATAGGACAAAGCAAGAATAGCTTTGTGTTTCATTTAGGAATGATTTCACATATATTTAAGCATTAAAACTTTAGTAAAGATTGTTTTCAATAAAGCTTCTTTATAACTTGAAAAAAAACTATTCAGTAAAACTGTTTATAGGAGAATCAGAAACAACCATAATGCCCATCAAAAGGAGAAAAGATGAAAAGAATTCACACAGTGGAGTATTATGTAGCACTGAAAACTTAAGCTAAATGCAGTAACATAATACAATATATGTGTTAGGAACATAATATTAAGTGAACAAAGTTTTTCAGAAAATACTTACAGAACGATTCTATTTACTTAAAGTTCCAGAACACACAAAAATAAATCATTGTTTAGAAATCCCAACAAATGCAATAAGATAATAGATGGAAGGGAATGAGGGATAGATACTAAATTCTGTACAGTGGTTATCTGAGAGGAGGGAAAGGATTGGGGAAGTGGCTTTCGATGGCAATGGGGACATTTCTTGTTAAACTGGATGTTGAGTGCACTAGTTTTTGTTGCAAAGTTCTTTTAAAATATATTTTGTATCTATGATAACAGATGCTTTTACAAAAAGATAACAGCTGTTAAGGCAATGACTAGGAACAGAAAATAGTCGATCTTGAGGGCCAAGATCACTTTCTAGTGACCACACAGCTTAGAAGTGACATTTCCTGAACCTTTGACACATGTGAGGCATTTGGATGAGAGAGACCAATGGGCAGTCTGGGCAAGGGGCCTGGCAAGAGTTCAGGAAAAGACATATTTGGGGAGCATTGGGTGTGCTCATTTGTGGTCCTGAATTGCTGTAGGGAAAGGTGGAACATAATTTGGATTGTGTCTTCAAAGACCCTGGAGGCTAATTCAAGATAGAGCCATCAACTTCCAATCTAAAACTGCCATGTATTTTACACGTTTTAAAGTCAACTCAACTTAAGCTAAGCAGAAAATTCACAGTAATAGTAAATAAAGGCGTATAGCTATTTTTTAAAAAGTATTCATTAAAATCAGTTATCCATTTTCAACTTCCAGAACAGTGTTTGATTAAGGCAAGATTCATCAATGGATGCTAAAACTATTGAGTGAAAATGTTTTGGGAAAGAGAATATTCACAAAGATGTATGTATCATCTCACACAGGATATATTACAAAGGGGGAAATGAACCTTTACAATGGACAGACTGTGGTCACCACAATAACCAGTAGCAATAACCAAGTGATTCGACCTAACATCACTCAAGGTAGAGCAACCTAACACTATGCATCTCCTAATGTGATGTAAGAATCAGACAATATCACCAACTTTTCTTCCTTAAAAAATTCCTAACAAGAATTCATTCACAAGGAAATTATTAGACATATCCTGAATGTGGTCATTCTACAGGTCATTCTTTAAAAAGTCAATATCATGAAGAAAAGTAGGGAAACTATTCTAAATTAAGAGACAACAAGCCCACACACCTGTAATCCTAGCACTTGAGAGGCTGAGGCAAGAGGTTCACAGAGAGTTCGAGGCCAGCCTGGGCTACATAGTGAGTTCAAGACCAGCCTGACATATAAAGCAAGGCCTTGTCTCAAAAAAAAAAAAAAAAAAAAAAGAGAGAGAGACAGAAATATAGAGAAAATACAATGGTCAAATCTTTATTGTCTTCTCAACACTTAAAATCAGAAAACATGAATGAAAGACACACAGGGAACAATTGAGAATTTTTCAACATAGACTGCATATTGGATAACAATATAGCAACATAGAATACTTGTTAATTTTCTAGGTGTGATAATGATATTGTGGTTAAGCCGAAAATACCTTATTCTTAAGTAATGCGTGCAGAAATATTTAGGGCTGACGTGCTGTGATGGCTGTAACCTTCAAATGTTCAGCAAGAATGAAAGGATTAAAGAATCAATGAATATTTGGAGAGAGATACAATGAATGCTTTGGTGAAATACATACAGTGAAATGTTAACCCATTGGATAACTGGCAAATATAGGTTAGGGTATATGTATTTGCTGCATTACTTTTAAATTTTCTGGGTGCAAAGAAAAATTGGGGGGATGCTGGGAATTGAAAATGGACTTGCACATGCTAGGCAAGTTTTCTACCTTCAGCCCAAGAAATTCTTTTTTGTGTGTGTGTTTATTTTTTTTTGGAACCAGGGATTGAACTCAGGTCCTTCTGCTTGCACAGCAGGCGGTGGAACCACTGAGCTAAATCCCCGGTCCTCAAGAAATTCTTTTTTTTAAAATAAAGACTAATATTTTCTAGCTTTGATGAATGAAACTATACTTATAAGAAAACTAAATAATGTGGCCAGTGAGAACACAGGCTTTTAACTTTGCCTTATTGTAACATTTCTACTTTTACACCATAAATATAGAAATTCTTAGCAGCTTTTATTGAGTATATATTTTCTAGGCCTCAGAAATATAGCAAATAAAAGACCTTTTTTTTTTTTTTTTTTTTTTTTTTTTTTACCGGGGATTGAGCTCAGAACCTGTGAGGCAGGCGGTAGAACCACCGAGCTAAATCCCCAGCCCTTAAATACTTTTTTTTTGGTACCGGGGATTGAACTCAGGACCTTGCATTTGTATGACAGGTGCCAGAACCACTGAGCTAAATCCCAGGCCCTTAAATACTTTTTAATTAGGGAAGGAGAGGGGCAAGATCCAGGGACCTTATTTGCTTATTAAAATGCACACACACATAGTTTTGAAAAGGCCATTTTAATCTAGTTGCTTCACTATAAATTTTTATCATTAAACATTTATTAAATACACATATTTAACATAAACATATATATATAAAACACAGGCACAATTAAGTGTTGTTAAATGTATTTAGCATAGGTCATATGCAGTCATATGTGCGTGTGCATGTGTGTGCATGTTTGGCCAGCTGCATAATTTGTGAAGCCAGTGCAAAATAAAAACACAGGGCCCTTGATAAAAATTAAATGTAGGACACTTCTGAGCGCAGTCACATGTGACTGTACAGATTGCATGTTCATGAAGCCAGCCTTGTGTCTGAATACATATGTTATGTGAGGAAAATGTTTAAAATCTGAATATAAGCGTCTTCAAGTCTCTGCTTTCTGGCAGATTTGTTCAACATGATTTGAGGTTCTTTGGCATGTTAACTTTTCATTATGGAATGTCAAATAATTTCAATAGCGTTCATATTTCTTTTCATAACTTTTATGTTCAAACATACACACACAAAAAATGAAACTCTATGTACCTATTACCCAACTTTAGCATACATCAGTATTTTGCTTTTCTTGTCATTTACCCTCTTCCGTTTTCCTTACCCCCTCCCTCCCCCTTTTTTTTTGGTACTGGGGATCGAACTCGGGTCCTTGCGCTTGTGCAGCAGGCGGCGAACCCTCCCCACCCCCCTTTTTTTTTGCAGTGCTAGGGATCAAACCTAGGGCCTCATACATGATAAGTACTCTACCACTGAACTACATCCTCAGCCCAAGGCAGACTATCTTAAAGTAAATCTCAGGAATTATAGCATTTTAATACTTTAAAATGTGTTTCTAATAGATATGTTTTTTTTATCTTGACAGAACCACAATATCGTTGTCATACTCAATAAAATTAACAAGATTTCTTTAATTAATAATTACTTTATTCAGTTTTCCTATCTCAAAAAGTCTTTATGGCTTGTTTAAACGAAAACCCAACACTACATTCGGTTGACATGTCTCTTTTATTCTCTAATATTTGCCCCATGTTTTTTTCCTCATACCATTTATTTGAAAAAGGAATTGGACCACATGTCCTGCAAAATTTCTCCATTCAGGATTTGGCTCATGGTATCTCCATGTCTAGTTAGATCTAGAAGCTTTTGCTTCTTGTTTTTTCCAAGAATATTTCACAGGGGACGATGCATACTTTCTTTTGTATTTCTTCAAGAGGAACGTGATGCCTGATTGTCCTACATTCAGTGTCTTTTAAGATTGATCGGTGGGTCGGTGGGGTTCTGGTGATATTATAAGCTACCACAAACCTTCCTATCAATATTTTACCTAATGGCTATAGCAGCCATTGATGATTGTTACCTTGATCCATTACTTCATTTGAAGGGTTGCAAAATAGTGATTTTCTGATTCTATCAAACTTATATCCCACTTATCATACGTGATTCTTCTATAAAGAACTTTCTCTAAAGTGGAAAGGGAAAGATGGGATAACTATTTGATTTTTGGAATGAGTTATTTCCTAGAAACCTCCAAGAATGACAAATATTTTTTTAAGCATGGCCAAACCAGTATTTTGAAAATGTTTCTAGAATGGGTTGCAGCAGGAAGAGACTATATTTGAAAGGTCAGAAGAGTGAAACACTTAAGAGGGCCTGAACAGCAGAAAGGGATGTAGGAATTATGGAAAACACAAACATCAAAGGTTACCTCCAAATTTGTTGGACGGTGAGGAACAGGATTCTGGTGCCATTAAATTAAATACAGGTCTCGATGAGATTAACCCCAAAAGAGCCACACATATCTGAGAAGTATTTAATGTCTCACACTTTTTGCTGCTAGTTTTCAGTAATGTAGATTGTAAGCCAGAACTGGGACATGGTATATCCATCAACATGATGTGAATCCCAAGTTATCAATGCTGCCAGAACATTCAAAGAAAGATGCAGAGACTATAGAAAATGCAGGATAGAAAGTCGCATAATTCTCAATCTGTGACCATGACCTATTCTAATCCTACATTTCCCCAAAATGGTCACAGATGAAAGGACTGGTTGATAGATTTAAGCCACTACTGGCTTAAATTCTAACTAAAAACTGTGCAATAGGCGAAACTGTGGGGCAAATAAAATGTTTTAAAATATGTGGTCATTTGGGGATAAATTTGGTTGAGACCTGTTTTAATCTCTTATGGCTGCATTTACAGATTGTTATTGGGTTCTGGGGTGCTGCAATCTCCTTTCAGAGGTGATGTTGAAGTCCTCTGTGTGCTGGACAAAGAACTGAGCAAAACAAGCATGAACAGTGGCAAAGTTTCACATTTATTTATTATTATTATTATTATTATTTTTTGAGACAGGGTCTTGCTTTGTAGCTCAGGCTGGCCTCAAACTCGCCACCTCAGCCTCGCAAGTGCTGGGATTACAGGCTTGTGCTACCATGTTCAGCTTCACATTTATTAACGGTAGGAAAATACAGAAGGATAGGGGAAGAAGGGGCTCTACAGAGTGAGTTTTGGGCTGAGTAAAAAGGAAGGGAAAAATAAAAACACACACTACAAGGGGCTGGGGATTTAGCTCAGTGGTGCTGCCACCTGCCTCGCAAGTGCAAGGTCTGGAGTTCGAGTCCTGGTACAAAAAAAAATACACCATACAGTGTAGGGTGGACTATCTTGAAGAGTCATGCAGGCTAATACTTAGGTGACTGTCCCTTTTTTTTACATTTTCCACACTGGCATCATATTCAGGTCATCCTATCAAAAACGTGCTCGAGTTCTTGGGAGAAGTCTACAGGCAGGGTTCTGAGAATTGTTCTGCTACGTCCCAGGGTCATCAGGCCTTCTTTCCCAGCTAGTTTTAGCCACCCTATCTTCCTGCCTCAAGACAGCCACAGATTTGGTGGCTTAAAACAACACACATTTATTCTCTTCACTCCAGGAGATCAGCAGTGTAGTGATTTCCAAGGGGCTAAGGCTGTGGCTCTCTCAGATGCTCCCATTATGCACACTTGTTTAGTGTTACCTGATGGAAGCCCAGTTCTACAGGTCTGCAGCCTGCGTTTTTGCCCTCTGGCTGCCTCCTGTCCTTTCTATCTGAAATTCCTTTCAACTTTTTTTTTGTTTCACTGAGATATAATTCACTTACCTAAAATTTATAGTTCAGTGATGTTTAGTATACTCTGAGTTGTGAAACCATCACCATATTCAATTTTAAGTTTTCTTACCCCTAAAAGAAATCTCACACCCAAGAAGAGTCACTCACCATCTTCTCCCAACTCTAGGTGATCACTAATCTACTTTGTATCTCCTCTAATTTGCCCATTCTGGATGTTTCATATAATCAGACGTAATTTTTAAAATTTTAGTATTATGTTAAGTTTCATCAATGCTGTAGCATGGATCAGTAAGTCATTCCTTTTTGTTGCCAAATAATGTTCTATTTATGGTTGTATCACATTTAATGCATATGCATCAATGAATAGACATTTGGGTTGTTTCTACTTTTGGACTGTTATGAATATTATCATAAACATCTGTGTACAAGTTTTATGTGGACGTTTTCATTTTTTTATGTATACCTAGGAGTAAATCGCTGGGCTATATATAATTCCCTCCTCACAACTTTGCCTATCAAAGTTGTATCCATCTTTCAGTGTTGTTCCCATAGTGTCTCACAAGCTACCACTCAGAAGCAGTCTTCTCCCTAGATCTCCTGTTGGATAGTACCCCACTGAACCATATTCAGTTTGCTTTGAAGCTCAGTCATTCACACATGACTATTACCTTTGTTATACTGTAAAGTTGCTGTATACCCCAAGGCAGTGGGGCAGAAACTCTACAAGTGCTTGGTGGGGAGTAAAAGTTTTAAGTTTGTAGGAACATATGCTTGATCCTATAAAATGTGTCCAATATTAAATAATAACGTATGCTTTCAGATTTTTAACACAAGTATTTGGCAAATGACACGTGAAATAAACATGTGTAAGGTAAATTGAGTTAGTTTTTAAAGGTATTTATTCTGAGTGTCAAAAGCCCTGTATTCTGGAATTTTAATTAAGAAAATGAGACACTGTGGTTTCAAATTTAATGTAAAATTTCTAAAACAAAGTAAAAACTTCTTTTCAACGTTTTACTTCTCTCAGTTGTCATTATTGTCTAGTTATGAAGTTATAAAGGAGATACATGAATAAAAGTTTTTACTCACTTTTTTAAGACAGGGTCTTGCTTTGTGGTTTAGGCTGACCTTGAACTCATTATGTAGCCCAGGCTGGCCTCAAACTCATGGCGATCCTCCTGCTTCAGCCTTCCAAGTGCTGGGATTACAGGCATGCGCCACCATGCCCAGCAGGTTTTTACTCATTTTGAAAGTATATCTTTTTAACGTTAGATGAACAAGAATGAAGGGATATCTCCCTTCTGTAAGGCTGATCTAGTTCTAGCCCTAAGCCTGTAAATGTAGACCATAATGCTGGGGGAGTAATGGGACCATCAAGGTTATTCTCACATTTTCAGTATAATTGTTCAGGAACATATTCCAAATATTCCAGCTCACTGGGCAGGTGGCGAGTTGTCCCTGTAACAAGTAAGAGGAGAAAGGCAAGACATCTCCTGTCTAATGCCATTCCATCTGAAACCACACACATGGTTTTGGGATGAACTAAACGTTATACTATGTTAGCTGAAATGACAGGAAGGGATCTGACTGTAACTCAAAGGGAAAGATGTACTCCTTTGTTTTAGCTATTAATACTATTTTTTAAACAAAAAAGTAAATATTAAATAATAGCATTCAACCATATACTTATATATATTCATATTCATAAAAGTAGTTTTCTGGATGGAAAACTGAGGCTTAGAAGTTAACCTGATTAGTGGTTCTAAAGTTCTGGTGAGTCTTAAAATCAAGAATCCTGATGCTCAAAACACAGTGAACAATTACCTCAGAATCCTTCAGGGCAGGACCTTGAACTACTATTTTTTAAAGCTCTCCAATTTAAATTTGAGAACAAGTGAATCAGATCATATTAGGTCGGAGATTAATATAAATTGTATCGATTATTTTAACCTATGCAAATGTAGACCAACTATTGCTATGTTCTTGTGTTTACTTGAAATCCTCCTGCCTCAGCTTCGAGTGACGGGATTACAGCACCACACCTGGCAAGAGAAGTGTCTTATTTGACAGCTGATACTGGGACAAAGAGCCAAGCAGATGTGGCCCAGCCCCTGCCTGGTTCTGTACTCTTGAGGGCTAAATGGCCTCAGAACATAAAGTGGGCTTTTCCTCTACAAGGCAGAGGCCTGTTGTGCTCTCTAATCAGGAAGAAATATTAGGGAGTCTGAGTAGAGAAAAAGCCAACCCTTTTCTTTATTTCTGCTTCACCACTAATACGGCTGACATTCTGATCTCCCTCCTGTGTCTTATTTTTCAGTTTGTTCTAAAATTAAGTGAGGAATAACAGTGTTACCTGTTGGGGTCCTCAGTCAACCCCACAAGCATCACAGTACAGTCATAAACTGTAATTGTCCAAATCTTCATATTTGTATACTGAAGTAGAATTATGTTATTTTTTTCAGGTCAGCAAACAGTGATATTCTAAAGTACAAAATACTTGTAAAGTACAAAAAGAACAAAGCATCATATGAAGGTCCTCTTTCCTTGCTGGAATAAACAATTCTTATTTTATTATGAATAATCTTAGTCGTGATCTGCAGAAGTTGGTCCTGGGCAATTTGAAGATAGATCTTCTTTATCTACGATTTACATGAGGAAAATAAAGGATTAATACAACTTTTATAGTAAACTTCCAAAAAATAATTTCAATATGACATGTATTTATAATCAACTGTATTTGCTAGTTACTTTACTAAATAAACCAGGAAGAGATAAAAACAATAACCCAAACCTCTTCACTTTCAAGTACAAAGACCTTAAATACAAGTCAGCAAAGGCAGCTTGGACAAATATGTTAAAAGGAGAAGCACTTGGCTTCATTAGACATTTGACAGGTTTTAAACCAATTCTTAGAATTAAAAAGAAGTGAAGTGAAATTTAACATGTGATTTGTATGGTTCAGGGACAATATTCTATCTAACTACACAAAAAATTAGTTCTAAAAAGTATAGCTAAATGGCTGGGGATTTAGCTCAGTGGTTCTGCTGCCTGCCACGAAAGTGCAAGGTCCTGAGTTCGATGCCTGGTACCAAAAAAAAAAAAAAAAAAGTGTAGCTAAAGGAAGAAATCTTTAAAAACAAAATATGAAACAATTCATCTCCCTTAAATCATTTTAAACTTGTTTCCTTTGAAACAACACTCAAAAATTCCTTATTGGGCTGGGGATTTAGCTCAGTGGTTCCGCCACCTGCCTCATAAGCGCAAGGTCCCGAGTTGGATCCCCAGTACCAAAAAAACAACAAAAACCAAAAATTCCTTATTACAAGTCAGTTACTGAAAAGTTAAAAGAATTCTAATAAGGACTCAATTACTTCTTGTTTTTTTTTTGTTTTGTTTTGTTTTTGTGGCCCTGGGGCTTGAACCCAGGGAGCACTGAGCTACATCCGTAGCTTCTTTTATTTTGAGACTGGTTACCTGGGCCATGAGACTCTAAGTAGCTGGGATTATAGGCCTGTACTATCATGCTCAGCTCAATTATTTCTGTAGTCACTGTTTCTGTAAGACACTGGTTCCACATTGCCATTTGAATGGAATAGGAAATTTCCACTGTCTATGGAAAATGTGACTTTTACTAAAAATCAAAGGGCATTCATATTTAATATTTTTTTAAAAGTATAAAATATTTTCTTACCTTCATAGGCTGTTCCACACCAAATACAATACAGATGTTCTTCCCTTAGATAACCAGTCAGTATTTGTAGTTTTTCCAGTACCTAGATATAAGGCACATAAGTAAGGCTATATTGAACAAAATCTCATTTTCCCAGCTCTTAGATCATGTTCAATTAGCCCCAGGCTGTACATTTTCTGCTATACTCTCAGTGATTAGAGGCGTCAAGGGCAGAAATAATACATCTGAACATGTTTACTAACTACCCTGAAATTTTCAAAAGTCTGCTGGACACAGTAAAGACCACTGGTTAATGTTGAGAAAATCATTTTGGGCTGGCTTTATGATAATCAGCATCCTTTACTTTCAAGGCATCTATCCCTCTTTGCCCAAGATGGGGTAAAGGTGAGCACTGTCTCATTCTGCTATAAAGATTCTCATTGGTGGTTTCCCAGTTAAGTGGTATACAGGCTTTTCAAACCATTCTTTACAAAATTCTTATATACAAGTAACCACAGGGGTGTATCTTTCTTTCTTGAATAATCTCCACTTCCTTTTGACTATGTTTTCTGGTGTTTCAGTGAGGGAAAGAAGTACACATTAGAATCACTTCTAGAAGTTTAGCAGGAAACAAGGTATACACTGATTTACATTTGTAGCTAACTTGTTATCTAAGCTGAAGCTGAGGTGAGACGGCAAACCAGTTAAATGGAAAAATTATGTGAAATTTTGATGTGGAGTCAATAACAAATCCTGTGAACTCCCCTCAACCAGGACTTATTTTTGCCTTCAGGGGATATTTAGCAATACCTGAAGACATTGTTGGTTGACATAAGGGGAGGTGCAACTGGAACTAGAGGGTAGAGGCCAGGGATGCTGCTAAACATCTGAAAATGTTCAGGACAGCTGCCCATAGCAAGGAATTACCCAGTGTTATGGTTTGGGTCTAGATGTCCCCCCAAAGCCTCATGGGTCATAGGGCTTTTTCAGAGGTGGCTCAATCTAGAGTGTGTGATGCTTGGATTAAGGGTGTAGTTACTAAACCAGTACACTGACTGGTTTAGTAACCACCCTAATCCTAGTAGTATGGATAAGACAAAAAGGACCAGAAAGATGCTGTTAAGGTTCCCTTGGTGCTTTTGCCGTCTTCTGCTACCATGAACTGTTACCCCTTTGTCATGTGCCACCCTGCCTTGGAGCCAGCTGATTATGGACTGAAACCTCTACAAACTGTGAACTAAATAAATCTTTTCCCCTTTAACTTTAGGTGTTGGGTATTTTGTCTCAGCAACAAGAAAAAAAACTGAGACACCCAGTTCAAAAATCGTGTCACGGACGAGACACGTGCTATGAAGGAAATAGTGCCAGAACATACACTTAAATCTTCACTCTTATATTCATCTTCATCCTCTTCTTCTTCTTCTTCCTCTTCTTCAGTTTCTTCTTCAGGCTTCAACCAGTACCATGCCTCTCTGGGAACCTGAATATTCTGAAAATGCAGAATTATTCTCATGAAATATAGCTAAACATAAGACTATCACAAGTACAAGTGGTTCAGGCCAACATGAATTTCTTTCTTTTTTTTTTTTTAACCTGGCAGTACTGGGGATTGAACACAGGGCTGTCACAGAGCTACATCCCCAGCCCTTATTGTTGATTTTTTTTTTTTTTTTTTTTGGTACCAGGGATCGAACTCGGGACCTTGCACTTGCAAGGCAGGTGGAGGAACCACTGAGCTAAATCCCCGGCCCTCCCAGTCCTTATTAAAAAATTGTTTTGAGACAGTTTCTTGGTAAATTGTCCAAGTTGGGCCTGAATTTATGATCATTCTGGCTCAGGTTCCAAGAATTTTGAGATTACAGGAATTTACCTCCATGCCATGCTCATTCATTTTTTAATTCATTCTTTCAATAAATGTAAATATTTACTGAGTGCTGCTTTAGGAGTAAAGTACTATACCATGAATTATGGGAATGAAAAGTCCAGTTAGAACAGTGTATGTTGTTGTTAACAGTTTAGTAGGAAGGACATGCTATAAATATAAAGTAATACATGTAAACTAGGAAACTATAGGTATCAGGAAATATTTTTTTAAAAGTCCTATGGAGATGCAGCAAAATGAGAGACTGCTTCCAGCAATCTATTTACATAAGATGGTAACTTGGGAAATTATACTGGCATTTTTCAGATATTTAATGAAGTTATTTTTTGTTACATAAGATCACCAAGATAAAAGGAAAGATAGACTTTTTAAGACATTCAAATCTGAAATAGACAATATTCCATCTTTGTTTTACTAGAGATATGTAATGTACTGAATATGGATGAAAATAGGGTATTCTAACTAATCAAATACTGTGAACAGAATTTCCAGTCAAGAAATCAAAATTCAAATTAGCAGAGAACAAGTTACTTAACCTTTATTGGAAAATTTAGATAACTCAGGTTCCTGAAGAGGCCATTGATGTATTTATTATCATAAATTGGTACTGAACACAATGAAGGCATCAAGAAATAAAAAAATAGATAAACCAGGCTTAGAATTTTTTTTTTTCCTGTAGTACTGGGGATTGAACCCAGGGCCTTCACAATAGCTATATCCTAAGCCCTTTTCATTTTTTTTTTTTTCTGGTACCAGGGATCGTACTCGGGTCCTTCTGCTTGCGAGGCAGGCGGCTAAACCACTGAGCTAAATCCCCAGTCCCCTTTTCATTTTTTATTTTGAGATGGGGTTCATTAAGTTGCTAAATTGCCCAAGCTGAGCTCGAATTTGCATTCCTCCTGCCTCAGCCTCCCAGAGTGTTGGAATTACAGGTGTGTGTCAGCACGACTGGCTGAGGCTTGAGTTCTTTTTTCTTTAAATAAAATATATGGCAAATCATACGAGGTGCCAAAACACTTTTTGATACTGAAAATAAGTAACACCTTACCTTCTGAGTATCCAATTGTTGACAGGCTCGCTGGCTTCTTTTAAGATCTCCTTCAAGCTTCATTTCATCTTGCTTGTTTTTAAGTCGCATCCTAATTGAAAGAAAAAATGTACAGGAACATCTATATTCTTTTAAGTATTTTATATACCTATTACATACCTCTTTAACCATTCTGTGTACACCAGTACCAGAGAACATACCACAATAGAGGATCTGAAACCAAAAACAATTCAAATACAAAGTTTTACCGAAACTGTACTGCAGCTCTTTCTTCAGCTTGGTTTTTCATGTGAATCTTTCTCCTGTAGCTTTCTAATTTTTCTTCTGCTTTTCGTTTTAATAATGCCTCATGACCAATGCCACTTTTCCCTGTTCAAACAAAAAATTCTGATGAGGAGCTTACTGATTTTTGACAATTTAAACACTTGCAAAGGAAATGCAATTCCCATTTGAATACAGTCACTCAGACTCATTCTCTAGAATGATAGGAGAAAGTACTAAAGCACTTTGTTTTGTTTTCAAGGTCTAAACTTTTGTTTTCAAAGTCCAAACACAAAATGTTTTTTGTTTTTTTTTTTGGTACTGGGGAATGAACTCGGGACCTTGTGGTTTTGACACAGGCAGCAGAACTACTGAGCTAAATCCCCGGCCCCCACACAATCTGATTTTTACAAATAAGAAGTTTCATTTTTTAAGAGAGTAATACTGTACACATTTTTAAAAATTAGGGAAAAAAGTATCAACTGTCATACTTTTATGTAAGAATAATGAATAAGATACATGCCTTGAGATCATCCAAACTATTAAGCAAAACATTTCAGGGATAAATATGTCTCAGAACACGTTTAGGACATTTCAATGGGTAAAGTTAGTATTGTACTTTCAGTGGTTATAATGATTTTCCTCTATGCTAAAATACTATACTTTTATACTATAATATACTATACTTTTTTTGTTTCTTGAGACAAGGTCTTGATATTAGTTCAGGCTGGCCTCGAACTCACCACGATCCTCCTGCCTCAGACTCCCAAGTCCTGGGATTATAGGTGTGCATTACCATGCCTGGCTCTAAAACCTACTTTTAGGGCCAGGGATTTAGCTCAGTGGTGTGGCCGCCTCCCTTGAAAGTGCAAGGTCCTGAGTTTGATCCCCAGTACCAATAAATAAATAAATAAATAAGGGTAGGTGTATTTAAATAAACCTACTTTTATTTCACTAAAACTTTTATTTTCCCTAGAAAATAAAACCTTCAAAAGAATTTAGAAGTTTAACAAACATTTTACTAAAAGCTTCCTATGATAAGAACTATAATAGTATCACAAATATTTGTGCTGGATTTAAGCACAAGTTATTATTTCTGGGAAATATACTAATAATTACATACCTGTTTTGACGTTAAGAGGAATTGGTTCAATAATACCATCTCCTAAAAAAGAGAAAAAAACACAAACTAGAAATTCTACCTGAAAATCTTCACGTCTGTGTAGTACGAGACTTTACAATGGTTTAGACATATCCCTCCTTCCCCCAGTTTCAGTAATACTCAACACTGAAATCTGAAAGTCAATACTCTCTATATAATCAGTGACCTCCCTTGCCTTCAAATGTTTTGTCCTCAACAAGGCAGACTCATAGCCTCTTATGCCACTTTCAGAAGTGACAATGCTAATAAAACAGGTCCAAGGAGGATAACAGCCTTACGAGAAAGCAAAGCCTTGGTATGTGAAAATTAAAGCAATTACAAGAAAAGAAAAAAGAAAAGAAATATAGCTCACAGAAGCCACTATAAATATATTGCCTCTGCATCTTAGTAAGCCTTTCACTTCCCAAAAGAAGCGTGAGTGGTCACTGAGACAGCTGCCACAGGTACAGTGTAAGCAAGAGAGAGCTCTGCCATCATCCTCAATGCTGTTTCATTGTCCTTTGACCACTGTGCTTCTTTACCTTCCATTTGTCACCACTCTTTGCTGCCTCCATTGTAAGCCATATCCATCCCAGTTGTCAGTGCCATCAAGGCCAAGCTGGGCCGATAAGCAGCTGTATGTATATACATATGTATTGGGGATTGAACTTAGGGCCTTGTACATATGAGGCAAGCACTCTATCACTGAGCTACATCCTCAGTCTTCTTTAAATTTTATTTTAAGATAAGGTCTTGCTAAACTGTCCAGGCCGGTCTCAAACTTGTGATCATCCTGCTTCGGCCTCAGTGGGGATTATTAATACATACCATCAGACCTGGTAAGAAGCAGCTGTTAATGGCACAAGTGATTTCTAAAATAGATGTTCGAAAATGAAAGTTCTTTTCAGTACATAAGAGACAATGAAGCTTAAGTTCTTTTAATTTTTTGTAGAACAGAGATTAAATTGTCATCTGTGATCCTTGTCAATACATCACAACTGAGTATTTAGGAACAGCTGTCTATTTCTGAATGCAACTTACCACTCTTGCCAAGAGCTTGACCACTTTTATAGCCCATCTTTTGGAGCAAAGCAAACCCTTTGTTTTCACAGCCTAGTGCATTTTTCAACCCAGTGTCACGTCTTTCTCTTTCCTCTTCTTTTAAACTCTTCTGTCTATTTTTCAAATTAGCTTCCTGTTGCTTTTCTTCTTTTCGACGGGCTTCTCGGATTTGCCTCAGCATTGGCAATCCTGGTCTGATATCTTCTCTGAATGATGAAAGAAATGGTTATCTTAGATGAGTACACAGTTTTCTCATACCTTTGCCACTTACTTGATACTAATCAATATTTTACACTATCTCTATGATCATCTTTGTTATTACTGGTATTGCAGCATAATCAGTGATCTCAAAGAATGACTATTTTAGTAGAATTGATGAAGGCTGGTTACATTCAGTATAGAGCTGAAGAAAATATAAATAGTAAGTTCAGACTAATCTTTCTTAGGAGGTCAGCAATAATAAAGAGCAAAGCTGACTAAAAGCTAGAAGAGACAGTACGATGAAGTAAAGGAAAAGGAATAAATTTCTGTGAAAGAAGATAAAAAGATCAAGGGCAAAGGTGTAATATTAACAGAAAAAGGGAGGAAGGGGCTGCTGTTATCTTTGTATGAACAGATAGGAAGTGTTTCCCTAAAGGAGTCAGACTAACTTTCCAACTCCACATTTAAAATCAATGTCATTGCTGGTAGGAACATAAACTACTACAATCATTATGAAAATCCATATGGAGATTCTTCAAAAAACTAAAAGCCAGGCATGGTGGCAAAAACCTGTAATCTCAGCACTCAGGACTCTGAGGCAGGAGGATCACGTTGAGGCCAGCCTGTGCTACATAGTGAGTCCAAGGCCAGCCTGAACTACATGGCAAGACCCTGTATCAAAAAACAAAAACAAACAAGCAAACAAAACCAACTAAAAATAGAAAATCCATTTAACCCAGTTATTCCCCTTCTAGCCAATTTTAAAAGTTACATTATAGCAACACATGCAAACCAATGTTTCATAGCAGCAAAATTCATAATTGCTAAATCTTAGAAGCAGTCTATAGTCCATCAACAGATGAATAAAGAAAATGTGATATTTTTACATAATGGAATACCACTTGGCTATAAAGAGGGATAAATCTGAGTCATTTGAAAATATGTTAAGTGAAATAAGTCAGACTTATAAGCTTAAATAGTGTCCAGTCTCTCTCATATGAAAAATCTAAAGTGTAAATGAAGTATAGAACAAAGTGAAAGGCAGATGGGATGAAACAGGAAGACAGATCTTTTGCAAATGGGAAGGGGAGCTAGAGATGGAAGGTTTGGGAGGGATAATGGGGAGGGAGATGTGGAAGAATGGGGATGTGTTGTGCACATGTACCAACTACCTACAACGCATGTAATGGGGGGGGATTAAAAAGGATTAAGAAGTGTTAAGTACCTATACCTACTCCCTAAGGTGAATGTAAACATTATATACTGCAAATAAAATAAAAGAAAAAAGAAAAAAACCCAAATCAATGTCATCACTTCATATTCTATGCATATTGCTGCATTAGGTGTACACTTTTACTTACTGGACATTAATGAAGGAATCAGACATATAGTCCTCTTCTTCTGCCATGTTCAACTTCATATGGCAATACTATCTACAAATCAAAAAAAAAATCAGTTTTCTTTGGTATACCAAAATGAAAATAAACCTTTATTTATCCCTCAGCATCAGCTTTCCCCAGGGCACTACTAGGTATTCAAGTGCCCTTTGGACTACTAAGTATTCAAGTGCCCTTTGGACATCTTTATTTGTGAGACTCTCAAGCTCAAGAGTTGAAACAACTCATTTTTCTTAACAAACCTCTTCAATCTCCTGTTTTTCCAAATTGTCATCACCATTTCTCCCTTCCTGACCTCTAATAAACCTCCGGCAATTCCTCCTCCACAATATTTCTCAGATAATTTTTCTGACAGTTGTGACACTTTTTTTCACCTGAAATATTACAACAGCCTTTTAAGAGGACTTACGGCCTTTGCCCCCAAAAGCCTCATGGGCTCACAGATTAGTCCACTGACGGGTTCATAGCTAAATGATTTGGGACATAAATCCTAGTTGCAGGAGGTGGGTCACTGGGTGCGTGTCACGGAAGGGTCTATCTCTTTCCCTTCTCCCTTGATCCCTCTCTCTACTTCCTGCCTGCCATGCCATGAGCTGGTTCTCCTCTGCCAAACTCCTCTGCCATGCTGCTCTGCCTTGGAGCCAGCCAATGACTATGGACTGAAAGATCGACAAACCATGAGTCAAAATAAACCTTTTCTCCTTTAAACTGTGGGTGTTCGGTATTGTTTCTCGAGAAGGAGAAAATAAGACAGATGGAGTCTGGCTTTTTGGTCAGAACAGACACTGTAGGTCTTGATTAGATCACTCTAACCGTGAAGTTGGTTTGATGATTTCTTTGAAAGAAATCAGCTGTCACATAATGAGGATACTCAATAAGTTCTATGAAGAAGTCCACCTGGGAGGAACTGAGGTCTCCAGTCAATAGCCAGCACAAATTTGTGAGCCCCATAAGAGATCAACCTTGGAAATAGTTTTCTACTCCCAGTCAAGCTTTCAGATGACTCAGATTTGGCTAGCACCTTCATTATAGCTTTTTAAGAAAGTCTAAACTGTGCTAAGGTGTTAACAAATTCCCAACTCACAGAAACTGTTAGTCAATAAATGACAATAGGTATCTTAGGCTGCTAAATTTTGGTATAATTTGTTAGCAAAATATAGTATTACTAAAATCATAAGATAGAACCTCATCAGCCTCCTGGGAGCCCTCTTCTTCTCTAGTACAACTGCATCCTCCTTCAGTAAGTCACTATTGTGTCTTCTATGGCAATCACTTTCTTCCTTGTCTTTACAGTTTCATTTTCCATGTGTGCAGCCTTAAACATTAGTTTAGTTCCACCTATTTAAAATTATCAGTTTAAAATGTGTACGATTTTATACAGTATTTTTGGTAATTCAACCATTGTGTCTAAAACCCAGATTCTTCTTGTATAATGACAGTATTTTTACACATAACAGCACTACCCAGTTTATGAACTACTCAAGAAGGAACAGTTTCACTTTCCAGTTGAAGAAATTAAGGCTCATTATGGCTAAATGACTTGCTCACAATCACAAAAAATACAAGTCTCTGCGGTCTTGCAACTGAAAATACAATTGCATTACTATTTGAAGACCTGAAGATTGAACCCAGGGCCTTAGGTGTGCTACACCAGGGCCACAATTACATTATTTTTAAGGGATCCACTTGGCCCTAAATTGCAAGGTAGAGCTGAGCGGGGGTTACACGTTCTTTTAAAAATTCCTTTTCCATTGGATCCACTCCTGTCAGACATAAGCATAAACTTCACAAGGTGATAATCCCGGCAGACATGATGGTGGCTTGGATCATCACTTGGAGTGATAACAACGGACGTGGATTCTGGGTACCCAGTATTTGAAAGTGGAGCGTACAGGAATTGTTGACTGATTGGAGATGGTGTGTGAAAAAAAACTGTCTATGGTACATCTTTTCTTTTGTTAGATCCCAAATGACAGTATAGCCACCAATTTACTCCTAGAAGACTCGAGTTAATTTTTGCGTCGGAAAACTATAGGTGCACTTTTTTTGTTTATTTTTGGTACCGGGGATCGAACTCGGGTCCTTGAGCTTGCAAAGGCAGGCAGCGGAACCACTGAGCTAAATCCCCGGCCCCTGGTGCAGTTTTTCTTTTATTTGTTATTATTATTTATTTATTTCTTCAGAAAGGAGGCGAGGTGTGGCAGCAAAGGTGCTGGTCCTTTCACACTCAGTTTCACGACACAGCCAAGTGGACAGACGGGCTAACTATCGCGGATATACAGCAGAAAACTGACAAGAAACGCCTCCTTCCCACACACGTCCCTCAGATGTCGCGGGCCCCTTTCCTCGAGCGTTCCTCTCGGCTGCAAGCATCTCGCAGACGCGACCACCTACAGATGGGAATGTGGCTGATGCCGTGATGGATGGATAGTCACAGCTGATGCGCCCTTTACCGTTCTCTCCCCAGACTGCAGACTCCTACCTGACAAGAGATACTCGGCCCGGTCCAGGTCACGAGAATGCATGGTGCGCATGCGCTGCGAACCTCTCATCCCCCGCGCTTCCGAATGCCGACTCAATTGGAAACTTTCGGCAGGCGGGGCTAGGAGGACAAGCGAATGCGCTTGCGCGAGACCAGAGTCTCACGCATGCGCTCTCCCCTTGTTTCCTGGGGTCGGATTGCAGGAGGCGGGGCATCCGGGTCCCTGGGCTGCGGCCTCTGCCTCCGGGGCTCAGCTGATCGGCCCCTGCCTGACTGGGAGGTGAGGCCATCCCCTTCACCGCCACTGAGTGCGAGTTTACACGTTCACACGCCCCCATCCTCCCAGACGATTTCCGATAGGTAGGAAGGAAATCCGAGTTCGTAATGAACATTTTCTCTTCTGGCCTGGGTTCGGTTCCCAGCCGCCGCCTCGTGGGTTGACGGCTGGGAGAACCTCGCGACTTGGGGCTGATAGCCTGGGGAGGCCTGCAACAGCGTCCTGCAGCCCCCGCCCCCGGGCCTGGCCTAGCTGTGAGGTCCTCGGAGCAGCCGGGTGAACCAAGTCCCCGCGCGCGAGGCCTCTGACCGCTGTGTCCTCCACGGAGGGTGTTGGCACGCACTCCCGGACCCTCCTCGCCCCTGAAGGAAACCTGCGAGGCTTGCAATTTCAGGTCCTTATGCTGCACCAGGTAACAGGTAAAGCGGGGGAGTGGATTGTGAGGTTCGCCGAGGAGCTTGATCTTGGTTTTTTAATTTATACAATGGGTTACTGACCTCTTGCTGGGCATATTTCTTCGGGCATAATGGCTTTTTTGGGAATATTTATTTTATTTTTTTTCAGTTCATTATTCATTCTTTCTCACCAAGCACGCCTTTGTTTTTATTTGTACGTTGGTTGTTTCACAGTTCTTTCTTAGGTTGTGCTGCAAAGAAGTTATGTTTTTTCCTAAATGAAATGAAAAGCTGTACTTTTCCTTACTTAGTGCTTGCATTTATTAAGCTTGGCTTTTAACATTAAAACATCTTACACTTTTTTTTTAATCTGTTAATTTAAGGTGTGAATTAAAAACTTCAGTAATGGAGTTAGCCCACAGTTTATTGCTAAATGAAGAAGCTTTGGCTCAAATCACTGAAGCAAAGAGACCAGTTTTTATCTTTGAATGGTTGCGATTTCTTGATAAAGTTTTGGTTGCTGCTAACAAGGTACGGTATTGCTGTTTTTTACAGCTGGGTTGACATAAAGAGATTTTAAAAACACATGTTTTGGAAAGATCATGGATCATTTCTGGAGCTTGACAATATTATACTAATGAGAATTTCTAGTGCCTTTTTTTCCTGTTCTGTGGCAAAACCCAAGCCAGCTTATTGCCTTCTTGTTTTTTCTGAGGTAGCTCGGTGTGACTGAAGAAAAACGTTAGGGTATAACTAGTGTCTTTCCAAAGTCATCTTCAGCAGCTGCAAGGTCTCACTGCTGTTTGGCAAGCCTAGTGTCTTCACCTGTCTTTCTGAAAAATTTATAGTTGGCTTTTATATTTTCTCTTTTGTTCTTCCTACATATTCTCTTTGATTCAAATTTATTGTCTTGCATATTTTATTTTTCTCGTTTAAAATTAGATCCTTTCCTCAAATGACTGGTCTTTCTTTGCTCAAATTTAATAATGAGTCATAAAATATCTTCTGGGCAGGGTGAATATTAACTGGACTTCACTGTACACTAGTTTCTTTCCTGACTTCAATATCTTAGGTTTCTCAAAGCCAGTGATAGCAAACCTTTTAGAACTTTCAATAATAACAAATAGCCTGCCAGGGATTTAGCTCAGTTGTGTGGCTGCCTGCCTCGCAAGCACAAGGTCCTGAGTTTGATCCCTGGTACCAAAAAAACCCCCCAAAAAACAAATAGCCTGCTGTCGTACTCGTGCCATAGGTTCAACACCACTGCTCTAGGCTGATTATTCCTGTAGGAGAGACTTTACTAATCTGGTATTTAAAGGATATATAGGCTCTAGGAATTGGGGGGAAAACAGGACTTAACCATTCAGTATGCAAACTTTTACTTAATCTCCCTGTTTCAGTGCAGATGTCTTAACAGCTGTGTCTAGGGCCCCTAGTCCAGAGATACAATATCTTAAGTCTTTGCAAAGAATAAGCCTTCAGTCCAGAATGGAGAGAGATACAAAGTCTTATAGCTTCTCAAGAAGACTCAATCATTCCCACATTTCTTGGTACAACTACTGCCACCTCTGGAGGCATCCAGGGTTTCTAAAAAGTATGCGCTCTTAAGGTACTGTATCTCAGGTTGAGTTTCTCTTCCCTCCCTGTTGGGAATACGTGGCTTCCAACGTTTATGTTGATCTCTTCCTATTTTTTTTGTTCTTGTGGACTTGTACTTCTTTTTTTGTTTTTTTGTTTGCCCATTAATATGGGTTTAATGGAGTTTCTAGAGAGGCCCTTAATACATAGATTTACTTTTCTTCTTTAACTAGAAATTCCTATTTTCTCTTGAACCCCCTGAAACTGAGCTTTTGTTGCCTTCCCTTCAGTGAAAAAGCTCTTGACCAGCAATCACAGGCCTCTTAATTGTCCAAAATGAGGGTCAGTAGGGCCTAGGGCTGGGGATTTTGCTCAGTGGTGCTGGGCCTGCCTCCCAAGTGCAAGGTCCTGAGTTTGATTGCAGGTACACACACGCGCACACACACACACGCACAAAGTAAAGAAGGGCTGGGATATAGCTCTGTGCAGTGTTACAAAAAAAAAAGGAAGCAATTATACTCATTTATTTATTTGCAAATTCTGTCCCTCCCAGCCAGAATGTAAACTTCATGAGTATAGGAACTTTGCTTTGTTTACTATTGCCCCACTGCCTAGAATGGTGCATGGCATGCAAAAGAACAGTAAGCATTTCTTGAATGAATTAATTCTAGATATTGATTATAGGTAGATCTGGGTGTTGTGTTCTATTGCCTAGGGCTCTTCAGAATTTCTTTTGGTTTTCTTTCACTTACCTGTAACTTGATGAACTACTGACTCCTTTTGTAGGGAAAATCTGACTGGGTTTTAAAGCATCAGTTATCCATCCATACAACCAGTATTTTGAATCCTTTGTTGGCTTACTTAGTAGTAAGCTGGCCTAGAAACTTTTAGATAGAATTACTTTTACTGGAAACTAACTTTTTGACATTGGAGGGGAATAAAGATTTAAGGTATGGAGAAATAGTTCATTCCTTACCGAGCTTTTTATTATAAAAGTTCTCATTTATGGTTTATGCTTAATGTAAAATCTCTTAATTATTAGAGTACCTTAAGTGTTAAGTATTTTAAATTTTTGATTAAAAAGTAACAAAAGGTATCATAAGAAAAATGATGATTCTCTCTCTTTTATTTTTTTTCTACAACAGACTGATGTAAAAGAAAAACAGAAAAAACTGGTTGAACAGTTAACTGGATTAATAAGTAGTTCACCTGGACCACCTACACGAAAATTATTGGCTAAAAATCTTGCAGCCCTGTATAGCATTGGGGATCCTTTTACAGTTTTTCAAACACTTGATAAATGTAATGATATTATCAGAAATAAAGATGATACTGCAGCCTACTTACCAACAAAACTGTAAGTACTTATTTTGACAGGGATCTTTGAAGTTTTATTTGTTCTTACAAGATAACTTAGGGACCCTAAGGACCCCCAGGTGGGTGGAACCTGAGGTATGTTGCCGACAGTGAAATTTCTAAGTAGATCTGGGGAAGACTCCACTTCCATATGTTGATCACCACTGGGACTTTTGACACACTACAGAGAATTGGTATGGTGTCAGCAATGTGCACAGGGGTCTTTCCATAAATGTGGATGGAGATTTGTCTGAGACAGAAAACAGAGAGTTTCTAGGTGATGGAATTGAGGCAAGAATAGGCAAAGCATGGGCCAAGGATTTAGCTCAGCGGTGCCACCGCCTGCCTGGCAAGTGCAAGGTTCCGAGTTCCATCCCTGGTACCAAAAAAAAAAAGAATAGGCAAAGTATAGCTCACTGGCTATATCCAGCCAGGTTTTTTGTTTTTTTTTTTAACAAAAACAGAAGGCAGGGTAGATGGTAGGCCAGAGCTGACCACTGGCTGTACTTTGCCTACCTGTTTTCTAGACAAAGGAGACTTCTAATTGGAAACAAAAATGGGTTATTTACAATGCTTTTCTGAAATGTACAAAAGTCGGGGAAGAAGGAACAAATGGTGTGTGGGTGGTGGTGAGTTCAATTTTAGGTATGTTGATTTTGTTGTTGGTTTTTTTGTTTTTGTTTTTGTTTTGTACTGGGGAACGAACTCGGGATCTTTTGCTTTTGAGACAGGTGGCGGCACCATAGAGCTAAATCCCTGGCCTGCATGTTGATTTTGTAGTACAAATGGGAATAAGCAAGTGAAAGTGCATGCAGTGTTAGGCAGTTGTAAATCTTGGTGTGCATGTCAGAGATCTGAGTTGAGAATCTAGTTTTGGTGAGTGGCCAGTGGAGGTGAGAATAGGCTACACCCTTTGATATGAATTCAGCTACCTAGGACAAATACATTGTTTGAGAAGAGAAGATGACCAATGGTGCAGCTCTGGAGCACCAACATTCAAGGGGCCAGGGCCAGTGTCAGCTTAGGGAGGAAACTGTTCCAAACCTGGATGCTGATTTTTAGTCTGTTTCAGCTTCCTAGATACATTGTGATTAGATTTTGGTTGTTTGGGATAAGCGTAGCTCTCAAAAGTTTTAAAAGAGATTAGAAAGTGGGCTGGGGATTTAGCTCAGTGGTTTTGCCACCTGCTGCGCAAGCGCAAGGACCTGAGTTCAATCCCCGGTACCAAAAAAAAAAAAAA